CAGAGATCGTTATCTGCTGCTTGAATCTTAAAAAAATATTCCTTTCTTGAGGGGTTCGTTCCCAATTTTTCTGACGTGTGATCGGTCTTCAAAACTACCGTTATTACTATGATGTTAGAGTTATCGATTAAAAAAAAAACACTCACATCTAGTCTTCATTTATTCGAAACTTCATAGCCAACAACATCACGACTTAACTGATAGGGGACCAATAGCTTCGTGACTTAATTGAACAATCAGGACAATAAAAAAATAGTACAATCAACTGAAGTGATAGAAATTAGCACAATCTCTTTGATGATGCCTACTGTACAGGGTGTCGAAACTTGATGTCGCGCTCTTTCCTATTCAGGACTACACTTATCCCGAGGAGCATATTACAACTTGTTATGACAGTAATTTCAAACTATGTACTCAGAAGTAATACAGGTATCAAAGGTCATAAAAATCTCGGCTATGACAAAACGTTCAGCACCCTTTATTACATAGACACGAGTGTTTTACTGGAAAATATACCACTCGTAAAATTCATAAAAACTACATCCGGGACCCGAGTGGTTTATCTTCCATAATCTCACACGTGAGTTTATCGATGACGTAATTTCCGTAATTTCCATCCGAAATTTGTAGGCGTCTTGCGTCTTTTGAATTTTACTTACACATTTTTCAAGCTTTGCTGATAGTTTGTCATTGTAGAGCCCTATTCAGCTCAGTGTTATTTCTGAAGATCATTGTAAACAGTGTCTTATATTGCTGTACTGTAAATTTGAGCCGTCACGATTACTTTTTGGCGAAGAAAAATCTATTATTTTATCGATGTCATTTTGTCTATATAATAAAAAGAACATTACACGGCGGCTAGAAGATATGAATTTTATTTTCTCGTGGCAAAAACAATATTTTACGAACGAGCGCAGCGAGTGAGTAAAATATTGTTTTTGCCACGAGAAAATAAAATTCATATCTTCGCGCCACCGTGTAATATCCTCTCTATGTCCGACGGTATAACGTTTGCCTTTATTTAAACATTTCCGCTAAAATTCTAAAAATATTTAGAAAATACACCCATTTTTGTCATGTTTATGTGTCAAGCACCAATAAGTAATAACCTAACCTCCACTTCGAGAAATCGGCTATAGTCAATCTGATTGAGCCAGACAAAGACGACTAAAGAAAACATTCAATGGAACGTAACGGAGAAAGATATATAATATATCAAGATGTGAAACAGCTTTATATTTATGTTAAACGTTGGTCTTGCTAATTATTATACCTGGTATCAATTGGAGACAAAGTTTGCATTTGTGATTTACCGTGTTTGTGCGTGAATGTTCAGTATTCAATTAAACTGTATGGGAATTTATTGTTGTAAGGCACCCCCCATCATGGTTTAATTTTTTGGCGTTACTTATACATGCCTAACAGCAACCGGAAATTTCATTTTTTTATTGTGAGTTTATGTACACCCTTCATAGATCGTAAAATAATATTAGTCACACGGAGGAAGCTTTTAAGGGAGGTTTGAATTCGTCATATGAGGCTGTTTATGAAGGACAACTATGTGTAGTTTAAGTGATGAATCTTATAAACAACTTGCAGTTTTAGGAGCAATAGTTGTATTACTGTCTGTTTTCGATTGAAAGCTGGAAAAATTATAATTATAATTAACAACTAAAGAAGCCTTCACTGTGCTCTGTTCGTGCAGTTTTAAAGCACGCAAGAAGCGGCTAGAGCACGAAAGAAGTGTAGGCTGGGGGAAACACGAGACGTAATCGAGTGTTTCTCCCTTCTTCTTGAGTGCTCTATACCGCTACATAAGTGCTTTACAACAGAACAGAGCACAGTCATGAGGCTTCTTTGTTTGTTTTGCGATAAAAAAATCCGTTAAATTCCCCACGCATTGCTTTCTAATTTTCAAAACAAACTATATTTTCAAAGCGAACCAGAGTGGCGTCAGGATGTTTTACACTTTCATAAATCACGCTTTATTAGCCAATCACAATCCTGATTAGGAATAAGATAAAAGATGTCAAAACATCAAAGCTATCACAAAGTAAAATGAGCGAAACGTTCAGTGAATATGAATGCTGAAGAAATGTACTAAAGGTAAAAAGTGCTTTTGCGGCCCATGAAAACCTGGACGTCATTAACATCACATATTTGAAAACAAACTGCTTCAGCTTCGTATCGAAAACTGCCCAAAAACCAGGGGCACCCAACGACAATTTTCAAAAAATATCTCTTCGGATGACGATTTGAGATCTAGAATTTCGGAACATTTGTTGTAAAATTTCTTGCTTGGCTGCCTCTCCTCGGATTTTCGAACATCTAAAAATGGTCTAATTGCCCATTTTTAACGGATTTTTAACCTCAAAAGGTCACATAGAATTTTCGGGAGCGTTTTTCCTGGCTGAAATTTTCGAAAAGTTAAGTGTTGATTCCTATATAATTTTCGTATCACTAGACTTTCAGCTAGAAAATCCACTGCAGATGAAACATTTTTAGGGGATAAAAGTATGCCGTTTAAAAACTAAAATACGTTTAATAATGCTATGTTTAAGTGGTTTTGAACTATATTATCGTTGGGTGCCCCTAAAAAACTGAGCCTGAAAGTAAAATTTTATAAAATTCGCCAACGTCTTCCCAGAAGTGATGGCGCCTGTAGTCTCGCGATCGTGTTTTAAGCTAATATTATGAATGAAAAACTCAAAACAACTGGGCACTCAACGACGGTTTCCCCCTAAATACTTTGAAAACACTTTTTAGGTTATCCAGAGTACTTTTTGATCTCTAGCAATGTATTCTAAGTAGCGCTAAAAAATTTATATCCGTTCGGTCAGCCTAGGACAACTTGAGTCTTTTCGAAATTACGAGGGCTTCAGTATTATTTTCCCGAAAATTTTAGCTGCAATTTAAAGTTTTACGAAAGTGATAGCTTTTCTGATTCCTCTCTGCATCGCATTTTCGATTCCGAAAATTTTAGGTTTCCTTTCTCTACGAAAAATAGCCTAATCTGGGGAATGAAACGGGAAAAATTAAACTTCAGAAAATCGTAGGAATTTATTAGATAAGCTTCGAAAATTGTATGTGAATGGAACGGTCATCTAGAAATTTTTAGCCTTCCTCGAGCTATAGAAAATTCTAGGCAATTTTTGCTTCTCCGAACAGATATTTCACGGAAAACAGTCGTTGGGTGCCCCTGAAACAATAGACAGAGAAATTATTCTTGAAAATTTTGTTATTCGAAGACTAAGAGGTTAATCGGATAAAGACAATGCAAATTTCAATACAAAATCTATCGCAAATCCGGATGTAGTTTGAAATTTTTCTTTGGCGCCAATGGCAAAATTTATAGAACGTTTGTAAAACATTTATACATAGTAAATTCCCTTTTAAAAACGTAACTTTCTTGACCACAGAGTACAATATACCTGAAAATTCTTCGCTGTCTTGGCCTCAAAACAGGTCATTTTGCGCTCCGCCGCGAAGAAAACATCGTTGAATTCCTCAAAGGACCATTTTGTAGCTAAAAGCTCTCCTTAGTCCACACCAAAAATAACTGAACATTCGTTTGAACTTTCCCTCAATTTCCATTTGTGTCTTTTAACGGTGTATTTTCAACCCAGAAATGTGGAGCTTTGGTCTGAAAACCCACCGCGGCATGGTGTGATTCACAGATGGCGCGACGGCTTTGCAGTGAAGCCAGGTCAAGCGTACCCCCAAGATTCCATTAATGAATTTACTATTGGAAAGTTGAATTCGTTGGTAAATGTGGATTTCAGATTTATTCTCTTCATTCTTGCATGCGTAATGAGCCGTGAATTCACACGACATTACGACATTTCTACCGCCTCAGTTTCTCTGAATTTGATAAATGTAATTTTATCCATTCAAAAATTTTCAATCTGACCAAATACAGAGAAGTTCTTGTAAAATATTCACTGCTCATTAGGCATGCAGGAATGCTGATTTGAATTTGACACTAGTTTCTGGAACGACTAAAGGATTCATTTTTCAAATAATCAATTCATTAATAGAATCTTGAGGGGTACGCTTGACCTGCCTTGACTGTAACGTGATGTTACATGAGACGATTCGCAACAACGATTTTTCGCGCAACAGAGCGTTGCAACATTGTTGCAACATTGTTTCGAATAGTTACAATATTATTCCAACATTGCAAAACTGTGTTGAGCTAAAATCGTGGTTGCGAATTGTCCCGTGTAACATCACCTTTAGTTCCGTGCTTTATACTCTCGTGAAGCATGCTTTATCAACCAATCAAAGTGTACGTTACATCTGAACTTTATTCTAACTATCGGGTAATTTTTGTTATCATGGAGACCTTATACTAAAAATTCAGATGGGTCTCCGTTGGTGCGGGAACTATTTGGAGAGAGTTCAGCTGAAAGTCCCTTCGTTCCCCCTAAAATGTATAGTCCCCACCTTAAACGCTTCTGGAAGGAAAAAAAAAAGAAACTTTCACATCCATATTTCATCTCCTCTGTTCTTTTTATTGTATTAATTTCTTTGCAACAACCCCAGTTGCCCGCGAACAGAGAAAGGTATTACTAAATCTTCGGTTATCACAGTATTCTATATCGCTAAACGGGCCTTCGTTTTCAAAATCAAAAATTCGAAAGAGCGAATGTGCAAATTTTCTTAGTGAGTAAGAACGAGATGATTATGTGTGGTTTATCTTTAACACGTAATTACTAACGATTTTTTGAGACATGCATTGTTCTAAAAAAAAGAAAACAACAATAACAAATGAACAAACGTTTCACTTGTTTGGTGGAAACGCTATTTCACCTTGTTACTTTATATAAGCATCTCCCGTCACCAAAGGATAATTTATATGTTTTTAATAGCAAAATTGAACGGATTAGTTACGATATTTTGTAACAAATGTTCGATTTCCTATTTTTACAGGTACAGAAACATATGAATTTGCAGGGTTTCGGGCCTGTAAGTGTTTGGATAATTATTACCGAACGAATTTGTTTGCGGAATGTACACTATGTGAGAAGAATGGCGGACTAGAATGTCTGGATGACTTTGCGAATCTTACAGCTGGCTTTTGGTGGAAGTGGAAACATCATACACACTTAGAAGTGTATAGAAACTTCATTAAAAACGTAACCAATTTCTCCTTTACTCCTGAATTACACAAAGCAAATGATTCCGGCATTGAGTACCCGTACACCATACCTCAACCGTACAGATGTCCCATAGCAGAAGCTTGTAAGGGAGGTTTGAATTCTTCATGTGAGGCTGGTTATGAAGGACCGCTATGTGCAGTTTGCAGTGATGGATATCACAAAAAACTGAAGAAATGCAAGTTGTGCCCAACAAAAGGATGGATGATCGGACAGCTTGTAATTATTGGGGTATTAATTATCATACTGGTTATACTTGTGGCGTGGAGAAGCAAGAAAAAGAACAAAAAAGACGCTGGACGATCTTTCCTTGACAAGGTCCTCGGAGAGATTAAAATTGTTATTGGTTTTTATCAGGTGCTGTTTGGTATCATGGAGGCGTTTTCATACATAAAATGGCCTGGAAGTCTTTCCGTTATTGGGGAATATTCAGATATTATTCAGATGAACATTCTTCAGATAGCTCCCCTCCACTGCATCTTTCCTGACTTGGAATTTGACGCACTCACAAGTTTATTTGCAGTTATGGGATTGAATATTGCAGCAGTCATCGTCGCCCTTGCTAGCCTTGCCCTTGCCACTTGGATATCGACACGACATATGTCGAATGAAGAAGAAAAAATGAAGATAAAGGAGCGCATTAAAGCGATAGTAAAGAGAAATCTGTTTTTCTTTCTTTTCGTGACCTATCTGAACACTTGCCTAAAAACAGCTCAAGTCTTACCTCTGGCCTGCCATAGACTCTGCGTTGACCCCAAAAAAGATGAAAGCTGCGAGGAGTATTTGAAGGCCGACTACAGCATTAACTGCAAAGGAGAGAGATATAAACGGTTAGTCATCGTGGGATACTGTTCCATTGTGTATGTGATTGCTTTGCCTGCTGCTGCTTTTACAGCAATTTGGAAAAGGAAAAGAGCTGAAAAGAAAAATGAATCAAGCGACACAAATGGTTCGGAAGACCAAACTACCGTGCAAACGGGGCTTCGTTTTTTGCACGAAAACTACAACCCTCGGTGTTGGTATTGGGAGCTGGTGGAAACATTTCGAAAGGTTATTTTAACCTCTGGATTGATCCTTTTGGGTGGGGAAAGCAGAGCTTACATTGGCCTAGCTTTGGTTTTTTCTGGTCTGTATGGTATCTATTTCGCGTGGAAAAGCCCAATAAAAGATCCATTCGAAAACAAGCTTATGCTATCTTCACTTGCCGTTACCTTCGTAAACCTTGCAATAGGAGCCGTGAGTTCAATCCCAAGTGAACGTTTTGAGTCATCAGTCGACCTAATCCTGGATAACCTGCTGTTCAATGGCTTGGTCTTTATTGCCAATTCCTTGGTTATTGGACTCCTTGTTGGTAAGTTATGAAAATTCATTGTATTTGTCTGTCCCAAAACCCTTATATGTTACAGGCAGGCTCATACCTTAACTTGGGCATCATGATTTATTGTTCAAAGTTCTTGCAATAAAAGTTGTATAGATTACTTCATAGTTTATAATTGAAAAGCGCGCACGATTTTTATTCACAAGTTCATTACAAGTGAATAGATATCGTACAAATTAACCATAACCTTGAAGTAATTTTTTTCATTCTTTTACCATTTTTTATCTTTTTTTTACTTTGATCAAAATCAAATCACCGTGGGAAAGTTTATTAGTATTTCCTTAATCAATATTAAATCATTATTGTACTTGTTATAAAATAATATAGAAACATGCAGCCATGAAACAAATATTTATCATAGATGAGGCTCCTTCTCGGGAGTCGACATTCATAACAATTCTTGGATCAATTTAGGTTTCCGGGGAAACTGCCCACCTACCCCTCCCCTAAGCTAACATTAACACTTACTTCTCACTTTGGGCAAAATGATGGCTTAGGGGAGGGGTAGGTGGGTAGTTCTCCCAGACACCTAAATTGATCCCAATTCTTTGTCATACGGTATTTTTATCTCCTCCTCTTAAAGAGCAAGGAAAGAGTTTGCGTTAGGTTTATTTCCTTTTCTTTTAAGTTTTAGATACATTTGTTTTTTGTTCTAAAGCTTTTCGTGTCTGTTCAAGCTTAGCGTCTTTCGCAATGCTGAAACTGGAATTATTCGTCTTTAAATACCGTTCAAAACTGGCCATTAAAGATGACGTAAAGGACTGGCCTCATAGTCATCTCACACATACAGCTCCTTCGGGGCAATTTCTTTCCTTGACTCGTTAATCGTCGTTTAAATCGATTTTCTTTGTGTGTGTGTGTGTTTTTTTTCTCGTTTTCGTGGCTCTCGATAAATTTCTTGATTGATTCTAATGTCTATAAACCCTGCAGAACTTTTCAGAACTTTTTCACTTTTGGCAAGTGTACGCACCAAAAAGCAGGAAACAATACAATTTTTGCCACTTAAGTGAACAAATCCGTCTGAGGCCTGTGATTGGTCATAAGATATATGTAGAAAGAACTGATTTTTTTTGCTAACCTGGTTTTCAAAAATCCAGGTAGTAGATATATAAATTTAGTATATACTAAAACAGTGGATAGTGTTTTTTGCGCGCTCTGATTGGCTATTCAATCAGTGAATATCCTGCACTAGTCACTGATTCACCTCCAGTTCCTCCGACCGAGAGTCGTCAAACTCGCATACTTGCGAGCAAAATGCCTTCCGGGTTTCCTGCCGTAACACACAAAAAAATTTCACAAATAATCAAGCGAGCTGTTCCCGAAATACACAAAGAAGGTGACGAAGTTCGGTTTGGGCGTTTTAACAGGTCATGCTTTGTCTTAGTTCGACTTGAATTTATCGATGAAACCGGTGGAAAAGTTTTTTGTTTACAAATGCGAAGTCTTGCCTGATTACTTCATTTAGTTGACTTGTTAATAAATAAGCTCAAAACTAAATTTAATAATCTTTTTTTACAGAATGATTTTAAATACCAAACGAATACACGACTCCTTTTGAAGAAATTTCCCCGCAAGATCTAAATAAATGCCCTTAAAAGTTTTATTTGTCGGCAAGAAAAAGCGACGGCCGCGGCCGTTCTGTCATTGCGCGCCAAATTTGTAATCGTTCGCAACAGTAAATGAGTTAAAAATCATCATTTTTGTGTTCAATTATGTCACTGTTTTAGTATATGCTAAAACAATTATTCACCTCAGTGTCGGTGGCTAGTAAACCGTGTCTCGGTAAATAGTCACCACTTGCTACCGACACTGAGGTGAATAATTGTTATATAATTTTTTTTTACCAGTGAGCAAATTGCATGACGAATCAGATTTTTTTTTGTTTCTGACGAACCAGCTTTGTTTAGAGTAAATCATTAATTACATAATGAATCTCTATGGTTTTTTAAAAAAAAAAAACAATGTATTATTACGCTTGACCTGAACAAGGAAAATGCTTAACAGCACGGTCAGGAAATATCTAGCATTGAGTGGCAAGAGTTGAAAAATCGATTCCTTTATTCTTTTTTCCATATACAGCTTTTAGGTAGATAAGAAACGTGCTGTAAATTGTTTTCACCAATAAGCCTTTTATTTGCCACAAAAATTAAAATATCGGTTTTCAAGTCTCAAAATGGCCCATTTTTTTTTAAACTAAAATTCGCTAACATCAACTTTACTCGCGTTCGCAACCAAAGCCGCATGAACAAATTTGGACACTTCCCATAACAGAACAATTTTTTTTTTCACTGTTAGAGTAACTTTCAGGGAAATAGCGAGATTTGTCGAACTTAAATAATTCAAAAAAGAAGAATAGGTTTTCACGATAGCCAAAGCTTAACCCTCGGACGTACACGTACACGCACACGTACCCCCACTGTGGTAAAAGGGGGAGGGGGTGCCTTGATGGAACCCATCTTCTGAGTTTTTGATATGTCGCAGTATTTCGAAACGAAGCCTTCAATGAAAAGCCTTTGAAGGTGAGGTATATTTTGTGAGGTATATTTTATGAGGCCTGTGGCGTCACCAAACACGGCTGCCATCTCGGCCACCATCTTGGATTTTATCAAGAATTGGAAATCAAGTAAAACCCGCTAGAATTGATAATTTTGTTGTGCTTAACAGCGCCTGTCCGTAAAAATCAAACATATCGCGGCAAAGGTGGAAAATTCGATTTCTTTCATATTTTAATGTTAGATAGGCTAGGGTATAACTAAAATCACTGTATTGATTTTTCGGTGAAATATCCTTTTATTTCAGAGATAATTGCAAATATCCAAAATCCGTTGAAATCGCCATTTGAGGCGCTCAATTATTACATGGGTTGGAAAGCCTAGAATGCAAAAACCGATTTCACTACCGCCTTTTAAACATCACAGCCTTCTTTTACAACTTCTAAATATCTGTTAACATGATTTGGGGAGATAGCGCTCTCCTCTTTGTATACAAAATAAAAAATACAATTTCCTTCAGTCAAAGTAATGGGTGAAAAAACATAATTTTTACCATGTGCGAAACCTTCAAATCGATTAAGCTGCTGGTGGTTGAATGTCAGAAGGATGGTCTACAGATTCCTGTAAAAATTTCTTTGGGCAAAGGATTACTAGCGACGAGAGAGCTTTACAAAATCTGTTAAAAATGCAGATGTTTGACCTTCCGCGGTCAACTTTGAAGTTGCGAGTCGGACATAAAATTTTGTTCCTTCACTTGTCTAAACCCGCATTAAGTTAAAATAAGCAGATAGAAAACCGTTTCGAAATGTTTTCACCTTATTATGAGCAGTAAACGACCGGTCCAAAGATCATTTTAGCACGATTTTCGGTTGTTCGTCGCTTGACCTCTGGTTTGCAACCGCTGCAATATGCACCTCATACCCGACAGACCGAGTGAACTTTCGACGTCTTCAAAGGTCGAATACTAATCTTTGATCAGTTTAGGCGAATTTTATTACGATTGCATCTTCTTCGACGGTTTATAGCCATTTGTTAAACACTGCTTTACACTGCACGAAAATATATATCTGACCGGTGCTACAATAGCACAATAATGTCCGCGACGCTGTTTGTCACTCAATACTGTCACGTGCATTTAACGGGGGAGGAGTGGTGTTGCTTGAAAGTACATAAATACGCCTAGAAACCCTTTATAAACGACTAAAGAGTTTAAAAGCCGATTTATCAACTTATACTACGCAATTGCAACATGGCTTGCTTGCTTCATCTTTGTTAAACTCTAGTTTCTACTTGAACCACTCAGTAGCCTGTGCCAGGCTCTCAGATAGTATAGTGCAGACGTATTAAGGTGGCTCGACTGGATTTTTGGGGGTTGATACCTCCCAACTTTGAGCATTAACTACGTCGGCATGAGTAAAGGTATGGAAAAAAGGTTACCACAACTGTATTATATAAAGATGAAAATTTCTTATGATCTGGGTTTTATTGCAATCGGAGTCGCCATGGCAACGTAATGACGCCATTACGTTTTTCATTTATCTTTGTGTTTCTCTGTTCCAGGAGTTTTTTGATGAAATCGCTTAAGGGAGTATGTACCTGCTATAATTGCCTCCATTATGGTAAAGTTTGAACAAATTCTATGAGAGCGTTTTCGAAGTATTTTGAAATGTAGTTTTAAGAATGATAAAAACAGTGAAATAGCATGCTACCTACACAATTCGCTAATATTTTAAGAAAATGATAAGCTTTGGGAACGAGGCTTCATCTCATAGTGGTTTGACTCCATTGAAAACTGCATCCAAAAAAAGAGGGGAATTGCTCTGGGCGATCCCGAGTAAGAAGAATTTTATTAACTTGCATTCAGCTGCTTTTGATACAGTTTTTGGACGTAATTTGGTCCATGCCTAAGAATTTCGCATTTTTCCAAAAACCGCTCGATAAATTTTTTTATAAATTCGACAATCTCGAGATCAATTATCAAGAAATATTCAATGCAAGTTTCAAGAACATTGAAAATAGGGAAGGCTTTTAAATAGGGCCTCAAATATAACCAATTTTCCCCCCAGATTTTGTGTTTACAAGTGAGCGTCCTCATTATTCACTGGCATTTTTTTCAAGTTTCATATGCACGTGCACAACCAGCAAAAGATATAAATTTGCATAAAAAAGAACTCTCTATTACTTTCCGAAGAAATATCAGTAATATGCTAATAGCTGCCTTGTCGTCACAGATAGCAGTGAGAGCCGAAACGGTGAACGTCACGGCTCATCGCGTAGGATGGAATACTTATGCCATGTTTAGACTTGAGCGTGCTACCGAGGTATTGGAGTTAACTTACCTAGGTAAATATTTTGCGTGTGTAAACGCCAACTGATACCCTGGTAAACACCGCTCAAGACAATAGAAAGTTAACTAAGGTAAAAGTTCGGTTTGCCCTGCGAAAAGGCATGGTTAAGGTCGGTAACCAAGGTTTGGATGACAGATACATCCGCTTGCGGTCGCATAGAATTTCAAATCCTGTGGTGTCGGGATTGCGTCAGGCTCATTCGATCACGTTTTCGAGACTAGGTTTTCGAGACTAGGTTTTCGACCAGGTTTCCACGTTTGGTTTCGGTCTACGAAGAAGTTATGGCAAAAACCAAAGACACAAAAGACACACCATTCTTCAACAAAATTTCCGTTTAATAGAGTTTCGAACCAGAATTGGTTTCTCGGCCACGACCACGTACGTCTAACGCGCCTTGTCTTGCGAAGGGCAATTTGTAGCAGAATTAATCGCTTTCGTCTCCACCTCTTTAGGTGCTGCAAAAGTAAGAGCTGCTGCAAACTCGATTCCTGAGTTTGCTGATCAAGAACAAGAAAATAAAACGCGAGGACTACAAGAGCCACAGCTTCTCTTTTAAACGCGAGCATTTATGCGTGGATTTAGAATTTGCCGCCAATTCGATTAGATTGTGATTGATGACAGACTTACCTTAGTTATTTGAGCCCGCATAAACACTGTACAAATGTACCAGGGTTTAGTCAGTTAATGTTTACCTTGGTAAACGCTTGAGTGTAAACACAGCATTAATTATCTTACTCGGGTTATAACATCACAGAAACTATCACAAAGAGTTGCTCTGATGTTATAATGTATCATTAATCTCTTTACCCGGTAATTAGCATATCCCGAAGATTTAACCGAGGGTCCTTTTTGATGCAAATTCTATCTTTTTGCTAAATATGCACGCGTATATGAAACTTGAAAACAATGCCAGTGAATAATGAGGACGCTCACTTGTAAACACAAAATCTAGGGGGAAAATTGGTTATATTTGAGGCCCTATTTAAAAGCCTTCCGTGTTTTCAATGTTCTTAAAACTTGCAGGGAATATTTCTTGACGATTGCTCTCGGGACTGTCGAATTTATAAAAAATGGAAAAATGCGAAATTCTTAGGCATGGACCAAATTACGTCCAAAAACTGTATCAAAAGCAGCTGAATGCAAGTTAATAAAATTCTTCTTACTCGCGATCGCCTAGAGCAATTCCCCTCTTTTTTCGTATGCAGTTTTCAATGGAGTCAAACCACTATGAGATGAAGCCTCGTTCCCAAAGCTTATCATTTTCTTAAAATATTAGCGAATTGTGTAGGTAGCATGCTATTTCACTGTTTTTATCATTCTTAAAACTACATTTCAAAATACTTCGAAAACGCTCTCATAGAATTTGTTCAAACTTTACCATAATGGAGGCAATTATAGCAGGTACATACTCCCTTAAGCGATTTCTTGAAAAAACTCCTGGAACAGAGAAACACAAAGATACATGAAAAACGTAATTACGTCATTACGTTGCCATGGCTACTCCGATTGCAATAAAACCCAGATCATAAGAAATTTTCATCTTTATATAATACAGTTGTGGTAACCTTTTTTCCATATCTTTACTCATGCCGACGTAGTTAATGCTCAAAGTTGGAAGGTATCAACCCCAAAAAATCCAGTCGAGCCACCTTAAAACGAGCAAAGCGAAAATCCCAGCCCCCTCGCGTTTTTCTCGGAGCCTGGAACAGGCTAACCACTCAGGCGCTCTACAATCTAGCGCTGTTAGTTGCGACATAATAAACATCGACCAAAAACTGAACCTGTTCTCACTGCGACAAAAAATAGAGTTTGGCCTTTGCAAACTGATAATTGGAAAATTTTGTAATTACCAACACTTTAAAGATGCCTAAAACTTTCTCCTAGGCGACAAAATCCTCTGTTCCCTTTATTTTGACAGCTATCCTTCGTTGGGTCATTTTATTTCGCGAACGTTAACAATTAACGTTACTGGTTACACGAATAATTTCGTGTGTCTCATTTGCGAACAGGGTTTCAAAAATAAGAAAGAAGCAAGAATCATTGTTGCAGGCGCTAATCAAAAGGGATATGCTACTATATAGTTACGAACTGTTGTACACGAATTTTGGTTAGCGTAATCAGTTCTTGCTTTGAATAAAAAGGTTATCAAGGTTTTCTGTACAGATGCTTTGAGACGTGTGCCTTTTATTCGTTAAAACATTGGTTGTTATAGTCAAGAGTACTGTAGTCCCATTATACACTTTACACAAATGTGTAGTGATTGCGTGAATAGCGCGCACTGCAAAAGATCGTGAGGTGACAGCTCATGCAAACCCGACTTTTGCATGGGCTAATTTAGCAACAGAACAGGAACGTCAGTTGACGGGAAAGCGCGTGGAAAGGACTAAACGCGACTTTCCAAATTTGCCGCTCTGCCATTGGTCAAGCTAGTTGTTAGATTTGAGCGCGACGTCGTCAACTGACGTTCCCGTTCCGTTGCTAAATCAGCCTAATTTTCTCAGATAATACGCGCGCTCTGATTGACCAAGAGTTGTGTTTGCAAGAGGGTTTTTAGTAACGACGTCACGATCTTTCGCGGTGCGCTCGCTATTTAATGCGCGCAATCACTTCGCTCTTTATCTTCGAGATTATCCTCATCAACAATAAGCAGATCATCCCATTCCTCATGTATTCGTACCACAGGTCTCCCAAACGTAATATGAGAGTTTGTATGGGAAAAAAAGAGTTTGAAACTTAGATGAAATAAATGAACAGGCAGTGTAATAATGATGTAAAAGTGCTCAAATCGCGCTGAAACTTCATAAAAACAAAGACAACGACTCCAGGTAACAATATTTACACTTTATTGACAAATTTTCTCGCTTTTACTTCATTCATTTTTTTTCCCATACAAACTCTCATATTACGTTTGGGCCACCTGTGTTCCTACTATTTAAGAAAGTTATGAGGAGGAGAGAGGGGACTTATTCGATAGCGGCGTTTGTTTGATATTATGGCCAACGGGGTGAGCGGTTATTCGGGGACGGGCGCTTATTAGAGCGTGGGACCTTACCGAGAAAATACGGTACACAGATATGTAACAGGTTAAATCAAAAAAGTAAAATGAACGCACCGGACAGACCAGCAAACGCGTTAAGATGCATTTAGCCAAAATAGAAATACCGTTGGTTGAAAAAAAAAAAGTTAATAAGCGCCTCCATTATTAAGCGCCCTCCTTCCTATAAGCACCTCTCCTTTTAGCCGAGCTGGGGCGCTTGTTCGAGGAAATACGGTATTTACGTCATAGCTTGCAAAATATAACGAAGTTTTAAAGAGCTGCCTCGTAACACCACCACTACTATGATTCTAAGAGAAGGGTTGGGAAATGACCTTAATGCCAAAGGTCCCCAGACTGTGACTGCGTGCTTACGTTAGAGTTTGTTCTACAGAATTGCAGCTGCAGCCTTGTGCTAAATTCTTCAACAACTCCAAGTTCGGCTTCTATCGGCAGGTTATGGCACTGATAACGGTCCTGATAGCGTTTAATAAAATCACCCAGTCTGGGAGTTGACAACCAAAGTTGTGATAAACAAAATGATCAGTATTTGGATTTTAACAGGAAAGAACGTGTCTAAGGGTATCGCTATCTTAAGCTATGGATTGTCTTTATTCACTCTATACCGGAGAGCTTTTGTGCCGGCACAAAAAGAAAGCATACCGGATAGGACTACTGGTCACGCAAAGAAGGGTGATTTCGGCCCGAAAAAGCAAAGCTGCGACGCGCCGATCACTAAACAGAAGAGTCACATACCGGATAGGTGTTCATACTTTGCCGGATAGCTTTTTGTGTCTGCACGTAAAGCTATCCAGTGCAGTGTGAACTGGTCAGTATAAAACAAGAACTGTGGACTGTGGACCACGGACTACGGACTGGGTTTAAAACACGGACTAGGTATAAAATGAGGACTCCGGACTGAGTATAAAAACACGGACTAAGTGTAAAACGCGGACTACGGACTATGTATATAAAAACAGCTTTAGAACGGTAAAACTGAGAGAAACGGAAAGCGAACTGGCATAAAACAGTAGTCCCAGCTCCTTCCCTCACACACAAACATTCCTTTAGCTGGTCATGATCATGCAGTCTATTCTCCCCAACGTCAGCGTCATGAGGGGAAGGAAAGCATAATGCACGGAGAAGGAAGGTTATGCCGCTACTCAAGGCAACTGAAATTAAACTCTGAATTTTATAAAAAGGAGGAGTTACAAGAAAATTCAAGTCAGTTAAACTAATAAGAAGCACCGTTTAAAAAAAAGTATCGGTGTTAGCCAGAGTAAAATTCTTATAGATGCTACTATTCGGTTTCAAATAAAGCCTTGGGAATATGTGAAAATGAAGAACTCATACGAGAAGGTCAATATAGGGAAATTCTGCGATGTAAAAAAGGAGTATTTAGGGGGGAGGGATTACTCACCTATGTACGTTAATAATAACCGAAATGAATCATCCATCATTATATTCTACGCGATGATTAATATTATGATGACATGATTTACACCCTGCTCCTGACCTCCGGAGGGGGTACTATGATAATTCTTGGTTGGGATGTGCTGCCCAGTTCTTCAAATCCTGACCCTATTTCAAACCAAAAAATGTCATTTTCCACACTCGTTTTCAGACCAGATCTCTAAAATCCACACCTGTTTTCAGACCTGGCCTAATTTAGGCTGTACCAGGCTCTCAGATAGTGGAGGAACTGACTCCCAAGTTTCTTCCCGTTTTTGTTTTGTTGTTTTTCTTTTTCGTGTTCGCGCTTTCTCAATTCAGCGGATCCAACTATCTCGAACTATTAGGCTAGGCCTAATTAGGCAGAAATTATGCCATCATAACTAGATTAGAATGCATTTCGAATTCGCATATTTTTATTTCGATTCGTTCTTATTCATTTGGAATTGAAACGATAAATACATGTACGCTCCCGTAGTTCCCTCGAATCCAGACCAAAATGAGCAAAGTGTTTTTAGACCAAAAAGGCCTAAAATCCTCCCCTTTGGGGCGGCACATACCTATATGGCTTATATAAGGGAGTACTCTCCCCCGGCCCCCGCCGGTCCTAACCCCTCTCATGATTGTTAGAGACCAGTACCAGGTCTAAAAATGGGTGAAGAAAATAGAATTTTGGTCAGTCTCATGATTCAGAGAACCGAGCGGCACACCTCCACCCAGAATTTCTAGGTGTATTTATAACTTAAACTTACGTGTCTTTTTTATTTAGGGATCTTTTGATCTTATTTTTCCTTACCTAGAATCAATAAGCACCTTTTTTTACCAACGTAGTCCACAGTCCGCAGTCCACGTTTTATACCTAGTCCAGTTTTTATACCCAGTCCGCAGTCTGTAGTCCGTGTTTTATACTGACCGTAGTGTGAACTTTAGCCTTAAAAGCCAGTCTCTGTAAGGTCCTCATATCGAGTTTTGGCAACAAAATGGATTTCGCTCATAATTTTTTTGTAGACTTATTTTAATAAGTATATAACAAATATGAAACTAGATTGGAGAAATTCGCTTCTGTAAATTTTTTAACGAATTTTCTTTCGGCGCCACATGAGGACCTGAGATGCCTCTGAAATATGCAAATTTTGTCAAAAATTCAACCGATTGCTCCGGATAAAAGAGTGCCACCCAAAGCAATTTACCACTTATTTTAATTGAGCCTTTATCCTTAAAATAATACAGGTCAGAATCAGCAACACCTTTTCGTTTAGAAAATCTGAGGAAACACACTTAGACCCTTTGACTCACTTAGCAAAACATACGATTTTAGCCAAATTCAGTACCCATTATCACCATTGTACTGTTCTCGTGCAAGTTACCGCCTTCAGGTCTTTCCTCTGTGATCAAAGGTTAATATAAATTAAAGGCCAAGTTTTAATTTGAACAAGTTTTTATTTGTTTCAGTGCAATATCTGGCGTATATTTACCACTTTGTAAAAGAATGGCGCAAGAACCCAAAGTGTTCATTATCCTGCTGCCTGGCCTTGCTGTTGCCACTTAATCAACTACAAGGAGAGATACGCGGATTTACTGAGACGAACATAATGAAGCAGCAACTGCAAACTGGTAACATCGACATGCCAACGATTGGTAGTACTTTAAGGGAGAGTGGGGCAGTTGATGTTACTCTTGAAGAACATGCAGAACGAGAACAAGAGGAGGCAACAACTGACGAGAAAACCATTGCACAGGGCGTTTCGACAATTACAAAGGTGATTTGTGCTAGTACTTTAAGGGAGAGTGGGGCAGTTAATATTGCTCTTGAAGATCATACAGAACGAGAACAAGAGGAGGCAACAACTGACGAGAAAACCATTGAACAGGGCGTTCAGACAATTGTAAAGGTGGTTATTCATGAGCCTCCAAGAGAAACTTACGACACCAAACTCTAATTAAGACCAGTTATTTGAGCGGAGTTAGCCAGTGTTTAACAAAACCGTGTTCTCATCAATTTTCAGTTTGCCCAACGCTTTTATCTTAACACTCTTTATCGTGAAAAGTTTCATGAAAGCATGAGGTGTGCAGTGGAAAAGCACCTATTTTCTTCTTACCTGAAATAACCCACTATGGAAGATATCTGCTTGGAGGTCCAAAGCTTTACTAAACCTCGGCCTCAATTAGACTCCGTTTAAATAACCGATCCTAAGTATATAAACGTGTCTGACGGGTTAAAAATGAAGTTCCACTACGTCTTCTTTCTCCTTAAAGAAGGATAAAAAAATTATCCAACATTAGGTAAAGTAAGGTATAAGAATCATGAATTAGGATTGAAATCATTCTCTCGTTTGAGGCAGTAAATGTTATGAGTAGCGATATTTCCTCTTACTGACAGCAACTTTGGTTCTAAGTTACAACTTATCCAAGTTGTACAAGATGTTTAACAGAATAATTGATTGATAATGGTAAGGGGTCTTAACTAACTCTAATTTAACCTACACAATTGAACCTCCCGTAAGTGACCCCCTAAAATGCGAAGAATAAGTGGTCGCTTCCATAATGTGGTCAGTTATGAGAGTCAAAGGAGGTCTTTTGACAGGACTGAGAAGTTCGGATACATCTAATTTTTTGAAAGAATGTATTGCACTTCATTTTTAGGTTACGTTATGTGTAAATCCATGTTATTTTTTTCTCTAAAACTTCTGCTCATATTCTGAGTAGCGTAGTACATACAGGGAAAGCAAGACCATTGTTGTTTTTATTTTATTTTATTATTTTGCCACACAGAATAAATTACAAGTAGAATAGAAAGATAATAAACAGTTAATTAACATTAAATTTAAAATGAGCATACAACTTGGAGGGAGTGACTGTGGCGGGGAAATCTCCGAGAAGCAAAGCTTATGAGGAATAGATATTTCCCCCATTGTACCAGGTAGCAGTTGCTTTAACAGGTTAAAAACAGTGGAAAATTCTAAAACTGTCATGCTAAAAACTGATTGCGTTCGCTTACGAAAAGTTCCAACTAAAAGGCTTTGAATGGGAAATTTTAGTGTTTTCGGATAAGTGGTCACTTATGGGAGCTGGTCGCTTACGAAATGTGGTCGCACATACAGGTTGGACTGTACTAATAGTTTTCGTTGATCAGTTTAAATGAATTAGGTGGTTTTAAGGTTAGTGAGATGAGTGTAGATACATAAGATTTGAGTCTTACAGACTAGTATAGTCTTGTTCTACAGAACGACGCTCGAAACACCTGAATCTTAATTTGAGAATTTTCCTGCAGAACGTACCTCATAGTAGAGGACAAATCACTTTAGGTTCGCACAATGCGGCAATGACCACAGTTATGGCTGTCCGTCTCAAACCAAGTCTTGTGATACTTCATCTTAGATTTTCTGGAATCTCCCAGATGGAGTAGGTCGATCCAACTGCAATTCTATTTTTATTTTAATTTTTATTTTCAGCTATTCACTAAAAGTTCACTTTAAAGTTATTTTCTTTACCTTCCTAACTTAAGCTTCACCGCAGCCAAATGAATGATCAGTTTTCCGTCTTAATTAGCGAAACTATTAAGTGGAAACATATGAGCAGAGATCTTTTATTTTCTCAAAACTGAGTTTTTTCTTCTCCGATCGAAATGTCACAAAGTGGCAATGCCATGGTGGAGATTTTAGTGAAGTTTGCAAACGTTAAATAGATTGACAAAACAATGCAAAGAGAAATGACAACCGAACACTTTTGAAGTAGCCGCTTTCTTAGCTTAACTTGTTTACAACTGAATTTATGATTCGTCAAATGCATTAGTTGATTCACTAACGTCTTTTGCTTAAGGAGAATTTGTCGGGGTCTTTCGTTTAGGACTTCGCAAACTAGAATCGAAAACCTGTATCCAACGTTCAATGGACCGACAATAGACCCTAGATGAATTCCTTTTATTTTCCAGAATTCCTTTTCACTAGTAGTAATCTTATTTTAACTGGATATTGAACTGAAATCGTTGTACGCGCTGCTTACCTCAAAGGAAGTGTTTTTTTTTTTTCATTAGGTTACCCAGGTGAGATTCGCATTTCGACTCGGAAACTGTACTTTTCAAACCTAAACTGGCTTTTTGTTTATTCTTTGACTCGATTCAAAAAGTGATCCATAGCCCTGAAATGGCCCTCTAAATTCAGGTAATACTCATGAACCAAACAGTTTCCAGTTGGAGGGAATGAATTTACCATTGCTTAGACTAAATAGGTCCCTATTGTATACGATAAGTAATAAAATATTTCTTGATTGTTTTAGATTGACCCTAATCGTACACTGCTTGAACAATGTAATGATCTGCCTTATGACCCTGATTTCGAGTTTCCTGAGGACAAGCTCATTCTTGGCGAGTTGCTAGGATCAGGGGCCTTCGGACAAGTCATTAAAGCAGAGGCTATAGGAATAAACAACTTTAGTCCCAGAGACAAAAGTCAAAAGAAAAGTCAGCGGCGACCTAAAATGTTTCGTCAACACAGGGCCGGCCATGCGTACCACGATCCCAGAGGCAGGGCGTACACGAAAACCACAGTAGCTGTAAAGACTGTTAAAGGTAATGTTTCAAGTCAAGAGATCTGTATTTCAACTTGTGTAACATTTACCATGGTGGAGGGGGACAAAAAAGGAATTTGGTTTATAGTTACTGTAGGAGCTGATAATATGCAGGGGAGGGTACGAGTTACCAGGTTACCTGCGCGGTAATTATTTGGGAGACGGGGTAGGGTTGATTTGGGAATCTGTGCCTACCAGTGGAAAAAACTCCAGCCATGCCCCTGGATTCAGCATGGGTGAGGTGGACAATTCACATAGGGCCTCTCTCTTACATGAGTACCGTTCGTGCTCATTCCTATCGCTGAGGTTTGTGCCCAGTTAAACTGATTGTTGCTTGTGACATGGTCACATGGACTCCACTAGAACCTGTGGAAACTGCACTTTTTTTAACTGACCGAGTACGATGTTTTGGCACTTCAGGGGGAGCTACTGAAGAGGAAGTTAGAGACCTGGTATCAGAGCTGAAAATTCTAATTTACGTTGGAGAACACAAAAACATTGTAAACCTCCTTGGTGCTTGTATCAAGCGAGATCGTATCCTTGTCATTCTGGAATATGCACCACATGGGAGTTTACAAAAGTTCTTACGAGGCAAGCGAGATGTTTATGAAGCAACCTGGACTGCGACTGCCAGTGACCCAGAGATAGGATTGAATATATCAAGTCTTGTAAACTACTGTTACCAAATATCCCGTGGAATGGAATACCTGGCATCTAAAAAGGTTATGTAGTAATGTTGTCCCGTTCAAGGATTCCCACATTTCTGAAGAAAATTCAGTTCTAACAAGAGCTGTTGACCTTTTTGGCTTATGTTTTATTTTCCCATTTCACACCAAGTGATGTTCTCAAGGCAATTTGCATTTGGTCTTTTCATAAGATATGCATACATATATGCTCGTGGATGCACGAGCAAAGCACAACTTTGGAAAGGAACGGTTCTCTGGGGTACCATCACGTGGTCTGAAAAAGGGAAGACAAAACATACAGGCTAAAAAGACCTATTCTCCAGCACTTGCTTATTTTCTCCGTTTGGCTTCAAGGAGTTTTGTCATGATTTAAATCGTTCATTCGACCGGCTAAATCTGCGCCTATTTGTTTGTTTTTCGCGTTTAACAGAGTATGACTACTTGAACCGGGGCGCTTGAAAGATTATTATCCAATCAAATCGTTTGAACTTACCGTTTTTTTTAAAAAAACAAGAGATTCTCTGTTAATGTAAACGGACCAAAACAATTCAATGTGCAACCATGAAACTGTTGATAACTTAAAAACCGTTTGAGCTTACCTGACCTCTTAGGAATTAGCCCTCCAATTTAATGAGAATATCTTTTGTTTTCAAAAACCGCCATGATTATTATGATTTGTGTTTGGATAATCTATTTCCAAACGCCCAGCTTCGAGTATTCGCACTGTAAGAGTTTATTATGAGTAATAAGTGGTAAAAAGTAAAGTAACTCAGAGAGAGGAGACCTCAGTAGCCAAAAGCTCGCGCAAAGGATTAGAAAAAGCAACATGTAGGCGAAAAGGTTACGGGAACTCAGAAGCGTGCGCAACAGCTGTGACATTAAATCAGCCATGAACCGGGAGCGAAAGAAGCGGAGACGTAAGTGTCTGTAGCGTTGGTTCCTCACGGACAATTCCGCGTTCGAGAGTAAGTGAAGAGCATTGTTTAACAATGTTTAGTCTTTATTTACTTTTACTTTCTGTAGCGTGTGCACTTCTCTGTTGGTATAAAAAATTTTTTTCCTGTTTTTACCGTGGTTATTATTATTATTATTATTATTATTATTATTACGAAAATAGCAAAAATCTTTATTAACATATGACCAATTTACATTCCACTATCATAGACTAAAATTTTGTTGAAATAAAAATATTAAAACTAAGATCATAAAACAATAATTTACAAGCTCACCCCATTATCGACTTTCTAAAATTAGCGGACTTATTATTATTATTATTATTATCTCCTTCTTGTTTCTGATGTCTTGATTTTGCATTTCTTTTTTTAAACATATCTGTTTTATCTAGTGTGTTCACCGAGACTTGGCGGCCAGAAACGTTCTTGTTGGAAAAGACTACGTCATGAAGATCGCTGACTTTGGTTGCCCTCGAAATATTTACAAGAGTGACTTATATGAGAAGACAAACAGTGGTGTTTTGCCAATGAAGTGGATGGCGATAGAATCATTGTTTTTGAGGGAGTACTCAGAGAAAAGTGATGTGTAAGTACAAATGACATTGTGCGGTTCCAGAAAATATCTTACCCCCACGGAAGGGATTGGATTTTCCGGGGGGGGGTCAATTTGCCTAATTTTTTAGTGGGGAGGGGGGGTCGCCATAGGGAAATATTTCCAGAGGATTCTCGTGACGCGTAAGAGAGTAACAAAGAAAAAACACAAAAATTTACCACGACAATTTATTTGCGAAGATATAAAACACGACGAAAGTTAAAGAGCTACTAAACCTATGGAGTAATGGAGATAGCGAACATATTTTGTCAGTCCCTTGGCGTGACCTCTCACGCGAAAACATTCCTTTGCCGTTTTCGAACAGATTTGGTATTCAAAAGGATTTGGTATCCGTTCAAAAACAATTGTCATCCGTTCAAACGGCTTTGGCGATCTGTTCGGGAAAAATTGTCATCAGTTCGAACGGCTTGGGCTATGCGTTTGAAAAAAATTGTCATCCGTTCGATTGGCTTGGGATATCCGTTTGAAAAAATTGTTATCCGTTCAAAAGGCTCGGGCTATCTGTTCGAAAAAGAATTTGTCGACCGTTCGAGCGACTGAAGCTATCTGTTCAAAGATAAATTTTAGCCGAGTTTCCATCCCAAAACCATTTCGTCGCTAGCCACTCGCATCAAACGATCTGTTATTCTCCAGGTCACGTACGTTACGAAGTTTGTTTACAAACGCATCATATATGAATAGTTACGGATCTCTGCTCCTTTGTAGCCATCTTCGCTTTCATATTATCAATCGATTATCGACAGTATCGACATACGTTTTATTCAATACTTAAGTTTTTTTTTCAACAAGTTTCCCGAAAATAATATTTTTTATCTTTTACGCTTTTGTAGTTTATGAGCCAGTGGAACGAAACTTCATTTTCCTTGCATGTCGAAAACACAAAACACGAAACATAATTTTTTCCAGTTGGTTGCATTTCTTCTTCTCTTGACTGTTTCTCTATCACAAAGAAGTTACTCAAGTCTTTTCCAGCACTTTAACCTTTGCGTGACAATTCATCGGCGACGCGCAATTTTACCGCAAACTCAACTATGCAAATTTCGTAGAACGAAATTCGATACTCACACTGTCTTGTCGCGGCACGAGGTCCTGATCTCTTTAATTGCCGTATTTATTCGAATAAGCGCCCAACCTCGAATTAGCGCCCACCTCGAATAAGCGCCCATACTAAAGGCAGAAAAAGTTAATAAGCGCCCAGCCTCGAATAAGCGCCCACCCCCTCCTCCTCCCAATCAAACTCAAATAAGCGCTCACCCCCACCCCATCCTCTTGAGTGAATAAATTCTAATAAGAGACTTCCCCGAGGACGGAGTTTTCTTCAAAGCATTTTACAGAAATCTTGCTTTGTTCCTTCCTCGCGTTTTGTTATTAGCATTTCTTGTTTTGTTGCAAAATAAACATACTTCTCTTGCTGAAAATGGTGAAAAAAATTCGAATAAGCGCCCAGCCTCGAATAAGCGCCCACCCTCAAGGTCCAAAAATTTAATAAGCGCCCAGGGCGGTTAATCGAATAAATACGGTATACTTCTTCAAGTGCTGCTTTCTTCTTGACGCAGTGCGAGAAAAGTACAGTTATGTTTTCTACGCGACCTTGCATTTCATTTGCAGAATTGGAGAATTCAATAGAAATCACAAGAAACGCACAAAATCTGTCTGTGACTTGAGCGCATAAGGAGTTCGTATAAGGAATTCGCTTCTCTGTTATACAATTCAACAGAAAATGAACAAAACTCACAAAATTTGGCATCCTAGGGAACAAAACTACTTCTTTGTTCACTTCAATTAGAGATAGCAAAATTTCCAGGGGTGTGCGAAAATTTTGGAAATTCCAGAGGGGAGGGGGGGGTCATACGGCAAATCCCTTCCGTGGGGGGGTATGGGTATTTTCTGGAACCACACATTTAAAAAAATGAATGAAGGGAGAATATGAAAATATGGGGGGATTGTACTCAAGGATGACAACCATATAATTAGTGCGTAACTAGGGATTCAAATTAAAAAGAAGCTGGCCTTTTGATTACTGCAATTAAGTTAAACTTGCCATAACATAGTTAAGTAGGCGCTCTCCGATTGGTTGAGAAGTATGTTTGCATGCGAGTAACAGTTAAACGCAACCACGCAACCATCTTTTGAAAAAACTCGACAAGTTTACTTTATTAATCCATAACTTAGACGCATGGAACTTGAAAAATCTTTAAAAACATGCTATATCAAAGTTTTTACGCTGAAGACGACATTTTAAGGGGAAACAATCCGTCCTTTAAAATATCACCTTTTTTTAACAAGAAGCCTTGACTGTGCTCTGTTCTGTACGTTGTAAAGCACGCACGACTGGCAGCGGCTAGAACACGAAAGAAGTGTAGGGGGGAACACGAGATGTAGTCGAGTGTTTCTCTCCACTTCTTGAGTAGTACAACACAATGGAGCTCAGTCAAGACTTCTTTATTTGTTTTATGAATATAAAGAATCCTTTAAATTCCCCCACATTCCTTTCTAATTTTCAAAACAATCTTTATTATTTTTTTAAAGCAAAAGAGTGTCGTCAGCATGTTTTATACTCTAATAAAGCACGCTTTTGCAACAAATCGGAGCGCACGTTATATCTGAACTTTATTATAAATCCAAAACAAAAACGTACTGATTACACGTACAAAACTTCGTATAGATACAACACTTCGCGACTAGTAAGAACTGCTCTTTTCATCAGCGCCATAAACAAAAAGCTAGGTAGCAACTTTTTCTCGGGAAAGTTGCCGCTATAAAAGCACCTTAGCAGAAAACTGTTTTTCTGTGGTTTGCAATTTGTGCGAATTCTCTTAAATTCTCCCAACAACCGAATCTCGTGTTTATATCAGGGCATGTAAATACAGCAGATAACGTCTTCCATTTTTATAAATAGTACTCGAAAGAAAAAGAATACTACTGATAACGATTCTTGAATGTAGCGCTTCATATGCAAGCCATGTAAGTTTTGATTCCAATAATTCACTTGTAGTGGAGTTAATAGCAGCTTACCATCTGTTTCCTCGAGCCCATAGTTTAGCTTAAACAGCTTACAGAGCTTTATTGACACCCTTTTGGTTTGGAATGACCCAGGCTGTGATGACCCTTCGAGTGTGTATGTTTTGAACCTTGAAATTTAATAATGCAGATGGTCGTTTGGTATTTGCTTGTGGGAGATCTTTACACTGGGCGGCACACCGTATCCCACTATACCCGTAGAAGAGCTCCTAGACTTTCTCAATGATGGAAACCGTATGGAAAATCCCCGAGACTGCCCTTCGGAGATCTACAAAATTATGCAAGATTGCTGGCAGGAAGGACCCGACAAGCGACCTGAATTTGATCAAATCAGCCAGTCGATTGGTACAATACTTGAGCAACGCGCTTCCCAGGTGAGGCCTTTTTTCTACTGTTTTTGAGGCAAAGGAGGAACTAAGAGAACTTATCCTCTCTCTTGTCAGAACTTTTGTACACTAGGTCCTTCAAAGGAAAAAATGAAGTTTATCAAAAGGGGATACTCTCCTGAGTGCATATATCCTTTGTTCTGATGGGGCGAGCGGGAATTAAGCTTTGCAGGAAGAATATGAAGAGATGACTTATACTGTGTGCTCTTTAAAAAATTACCATATTTGCAATGACAGTGGCGGATTCAAATCTCTAACGAAGTGTGGGACCCGCTCATTAGTCCCGTAGACTGCAGTTTGGCCTATAAATTAAAGAAGGTGGAGCCCCGGACCCCCGGGGGCCTCTTGGCCCCTCCCGTAGATTGGCCATGGAATGATGATAACACGATCTGCATGCTGTTTTTTTTTTTTTTCAGACTGACGCAATGCAGATGCTAAAGCTATACAGATTATAAAAATTTACGATTCTATAAGATCAGAGAATTTCGACTGCCAATTGAAAGAAAAATTATGAGGGATGCGCATCTTTTGGTGGTCAGGGGCCCATAACCCGGAGTGAGCAAATTCCATGCGCTTGTGTCACGACGTTTTCACGGACCAGTTTAGTTTTAGAACGGTTTTGGCGCGAATTTTGAATATCTTTTAAATTTCACAAACTAGTCAGCCAAACCTACAGACCTAAAAAGGGTATTTTCTGCCTTTTAATAACGTTTAGGTTTCCGTTTTGAAATCTTATTCTTCGAATGCGCTCATAGATATGGTGGAGATTTTAGTTTTCGCGGGAAGAAGTACCCCTTAAAATGTGTCTAAAAATAAACTGATCTGTAAAAACGCCGTGACATAGGCCTAGTATGGAAGTTGCTCGCTCCGGGTTATGGGCTCCTGGCTGGTATGTTTATTCTAAACTTTGATATTGGGCTTATTTTTCACAACAGAGTGTCGCGACCGAGTACCTTCACTTACTAGAAGACAACAACCGTGGCAGACAAGATTACTACCTTGATCCACATGATTCAGACCCCACAGTTCCTGTGACGAGAGCAGATGTTTATGACAGGTTAGTACACTCGATTAAGCATTTGGCTTTTATTCTTGAAAAGTTCAGCCACAAGCGAGTTGGGTTGTCCATATCCGGTCATATTCCGTACCCATAAAGGAGCCAACAATGCAAGTCCCAGGCTAAAGAACTTCCCAATATTAGTTCGACAATAAATACGTTATGTTATGTTAATTCAATAACTGATAGGTACGGCCAGTTCTGCTTATATAATAGCTTGGCCACTGAGGGAGCGCTTATTCGGGGAAGAAATAGGTTCTTCAAAGGAGTACTGAGGAGACAGTATATCGTTAATGAGACACGTGCATGGTCATGGCAAAGAACGAAAGGGACTCAGTTACATTGTTACGTAAGAAATAACATTGCTTAATATAACTCGTGGATACAGATAATGGTCTTGCTGTGCACGGTAAATTTAAAATTGAGCCGAACGAGTGGCTAATAAGAAACTGTTCCCTTACGTCAATGCCGGCGTTTAATCAAAGGTAAACAAGCGTTCAGAGAATGAGAGAAGAGAGGAGGTTCCCTTATAACATCACTTAATATATTTAAGACGGTGAGCAGCTGGAGGTGATTGTTATTCAAGGAGACTCTTATTTTTCGGTTTGGCAGGCGAATATTTAGGGGAAGACGCTTAATCAACGTGAACGCCTTTTATTTTTGACATTTAAGGCGTAATAGCGTATAAATCTCAGATTGCGAAAATCTAACTCCGTTCACTGCGTACAAATCATGTTTCGAGTCCATTGCCGTTGGCATGAAGATTTGAAATAATGATAATAAAATATAGCATTGCGATCTTGTCTCACAGAATTATCGGCTCGTCGTAAAATGTTTTAGTGTGATTCACGTTGCCTTCTATAATCGTGCGCATGATCTAAAATGTGTGGTCAATTTTATAGGAATCTACCATGGTTGACAGCGTTGTTTTCTTCTTATAGGCGATCAAGTGAAAATATTGCAAACAATCCCTTGCCTCCATTACCAGATGACATGGAAGATCAATTCGATCCAGAATCAGAGGAGAGACAACAGATGCTGAAACCAGAGATTTACGGGGGCTTGTCGGGGAGTGAGGGCGACATAGAACTAGAAGAATTCCATGGTAATGAGCAGGCTGTAGCCTTGGAACTGATGCCTATTGCTCACTCTACAGAAACGGCCGGAAATTCAAAGAAGAAAACTACAATCGTCTGAGACTTGCGCTAAAGTTAATCTTTTTACTTCCAGATTCAATAATAGAGACATTTTAAAAATAGTCCCTAGTTTATCTCTGTTGTAAGATGCTGTGATGTGATCAGCTGTTCAAACGAAACTTTATCTGTAGCACGTTTACATGACTGTATTTGTTTATTTTTTACTGATTTAGTTCGAAATCTTACTTCAGTGACTAGTCCGTCGATGAAATCCGATAGTTTGACCATTTAAATTAAAACCTCTTCAGTAGCGTGTTCACATGAAACTAGCTATTTCGCATGTAGTTCTAACTATTGCTCTCTTGACAAAATTAGATGATGTGACTATCAAAATCGAACCTTTGTAGTAGTACGTTCACATGTATAGTTTATGTTTCGCGCAGTTTTAAATTTGGAATCTTTTGACGAAAACCTACATGTGTGACTATCCAAATTAAACCTCTTCATCAGTACTACGTCATATGCATGAAGCTATTTATGGTGTAATTTTTAAATGAAACCTCTTCAGCAATAACTCGTTCAGGAAAAATAGCCATATGAATGACAACTTAAATTAATTTGTGTGTGAAAGAAATACAGTCTACACGGAGGAAAGAATCCTTCAAAAACGATTATTAATCGTACTTGGCACACCTTTCTTATCTATAGCTTCCAGACAGGCTGAAATTGGTAAATGTGGTCAGGGACGATTATTAATCGTACTCTATAATAAAAAATAATGACTGTTTATTAAGACTCATTGCAGCAATATACAGAATGGCTGAATTACAGAGCTGTTTACAAAACATGTAATACTAAAGTATAATACAATAAATCCAATAAATACCAGAAAATATAATTGTACAAGCCACTAGTTATACTTATGCGTGACAAACTCTTGCGTGCGCTTGGTCCTACAGGTAGGACGCGTGGAGCGGCTAATGCCAGATCTAAGATTATAATTATGTACAACCTCCTCCTGTTTGGGGAGCATAAAATGCAAGGGGTGATTCTCATTCCGGAGTCTATCAATATAAACCTGGCATAGATGGGCGCGTCAGTCACTTAGAGTTGTTAAATTAAGGGCATTTAATGCCTCGTTGTAATTCATTAAAGGGAAAATGATGCGCATAGCCCTTTTCTGAATGCTCTCAATCTTATAAGATAGAAAATCTGGTATATTATGCCAGACAGGGGGAGCATATTCTAGAACAGGACGAACAATGGTTGTAAACTCAGTAGCACATCTCTATACTTTCTTATCAATAGCCTGCAGACAGGTTAAAACTGGTAAATGTGATCAGAATTAATCGTACTTGGCACATCTCAATACAGTACTTTCTTTCCTTAGCCTTCAGGGGGCGTAAGACTAGGTAGAGATTGTCAAAAACGATTATTAATCATACTTGCCACATCTCTATACTTTCTTATTTATAGTAGCCTGCAGACAGGTTGAAACTGGTAAATGTGACCAGGGACGAGTTATTAATCGTACTTGGCACATCTCAATACTTTGTTATCTCTTGCCCGTAGACATGTTGAAATTGGTTTGTATAGCCAGGAACCCTAATTAATCGTACCTGGCACATTTCAATACTTTCAAATCCCTAGCCTGTCGGCCTGTTGAAATTGGTATTTATGGTCAGAAACGTTCATTAATCGTTCCTGGCACATCTCAATACTTTATTATCCCTAGCGAGTAGACGTATTGAAATTGGTAGTTATGGTCAGGAGCGCTTATTTATCATACTTGGCACATCTCAATACTTTCGTGTTCCTAACTTGCACACACGTTAAAATTGCAAGGCATGGGCACGAAAGCTTATTAATCGTACTTGGCACATCTCAATACTTTCCTATCCTTAGCCCGTGGACATGTTGAAATTGAAATGTATGATCAGGAACGCTTATTAATCGTTCCTGGCACATCTCAATGCTTTCTTATCCCTAGCGTGTATAGACGTATTGAAATTAGTACGTATGGTCGGAGCGCTTCTTAATAGTACTTGGCACATCTCAATACTTTATTTCTTTGGATATGTTGAGTTGGAATGTATGATAAGGAACGCTTATTAATCGTACCTGGCACATCTAAATACTTCGTTATCCCTAGCCTATGGGCATGTTAAAAATGCAATGTCACATCCAAAGTTGAAATGCAGATTGAAATGGGAAGGTATGGTTAGAAACGAGTGGTTATCGTACTTGGTATATCTTAATACTCTTCTTCTTTGGACATGTTGAAGTTGCACTTTATGATCAGGAACGCTTATTAATCGTGCCTGGCACATCTCAATACTCTCTTATCCCTAGCCTATAGCCTTTTTAAATTGGTAGGTATGGTCGGGAACGCTTATTAATTGTACTTGGCACATCTCAATAATTCTTTATCCCTAGCCAGTAGACATGTTGAAATTAGCAGGTGTGGTCAGGAGCGCTTCTTAATCGTACTTGGCACATCTCAATACTTTCTTACCCTTAGCCTGTAGGGGTATAGACATGTTGGAATTGGCAGGTATGGTCAGAAACGCTTAATAACCGAACTTGGCATATCTCAATACTTTCTTTCTTTGGATATGTTGAAGCTGGAATGTATAATCAGGAACGTTTATTAATCGTACCCGGCACATCTCAATACTTTCTTATCCCTAGCCTGTAGACATGCTGAAATTGGTAGGTATGGTCATTAACGATAACGGCTCGACACTTTCTCATTCCTAACTTGCAGAAATGTTAAAATTGCAAGGTATGGGCAAGAACGCTTATTAATCGTACTTGGCACATCTCATACTTTCTTATTCCTAACATGAAGACATGTTGAAATTGCTAGGTATGGGTAAGAACGCTCATTAATCGTACTTGGTATATCTCAATTCTCTCTTTCTTTGGACACGTTGAAATTGAAATGTATGATCAGGAATGCTTATTAATCGTACCTAGTAAATTTTAATACTTTCTTATCCCTAGCCTGTAGAGATATTAAAACTAGTAGGTATGGTCAGGAACGCTTATTAATCGAACTTGGCAAATGTCAATATTTTTTTATCCCTGACTTGTAGCCATGCTGAAATTAGTAGGTATGGTCAGAAACGCGTTTTAATCATACTTGGCACATCGCAATACAGTTTTATTCCTACCCTTTAATTGGACTTGTTGAAAGTGGAACGTATAGTCAGGAACGCTTATTAATCGTACTTGGCATATGTCAATATTTTCTTATCCCTAGCCTGCAGGCAAGTTAAAATTGGTAGGTATGGTCAGAAACGCTTATTAATCATACTTGGCACATCGCAATACAGTTTTATTGCTTGCCTGTGGACATGTTGAAATTGGAAGGTATGGTCAGGAACGTTTATTAATCGTACTTGACACATGTCAATATTTTCTTATCCCTAGCCTGGAGGCATGTTGAAATTAGGAGGACTCTGGACACATTGAAATTGAAATGAATGATCAGGAACGCTTATTAATCGTTCCTGGCACATCTTAATATTTTCTTATCCCTAGCCTGCAGGCATCTTGAAATTGGTAGGTATCGTCAGAAACGCTTATTAAGCATACTCGGCACATCGCAATACTGTTTTATTCCTAGCCTGTGGACATGTTGAAATTGGAAGGTATGGTCAGGAACGCTTATTAATTGTACTTGGCACATAATAATAATAATAACAATAATAATAATAATAACAATTTATAAACTTACGCAGCTTAACATGAGAACGATCAGCTGCGCGTTACAACTGCATTACTTTAAAAGAAACAAATAAAAGATAATGCATTAAAAAATAGAAAATAAAAAGAATATATATGCATGCAAGTGAGAACTGAATATAAAATTGCTCACCAACATAAAGTTTTAAAAAGATAAGCTAAGTCTTAATATGCGCCTTAAAACTGTTCACATTAGTAATCGCACGAAGTTCTTTTGGAAGAGAGTTCCAGAGCCTTGGCGCTGCTACCATAAAAGCTCTATCACCTAACGTCTTCGATCGAACAGCTGGCATAGAAAGTAAAATACTTTCTGAAGATCTAAGGTTATATAAGGACGATTTAAATGTTAGTAAATCGCATAGATATTTAGGAGCAAGGCCGTGAATTGCTTTGAACGTAATAAGCAGTATCTTAAATCCTATCCTGGCTTTAACAGGAAGCCAATGCAGACCACGAAGAAGGGCTGAGAAGTGGCAAACCCTGGGGGCATTACAAACTAGCCTGGCTGAGGCATTCAAAACTCTCTGCAATTTGTTAAGCTGGTAGCTGGGCAGCCCATACAAAAGACTGTGACAATAATCAACACGAGCTGTAATAAATGCATGGACAAGCATTTCCGTTGATTCTCGAGACAAATACTTGCGAATGCGTTTGATATTATGCAAATGGTAAAAGGCAACACCACATAACTTGCTAATATGAGTTGACATTGTGAGCTGCTCATCAAACCATGAGCCTAGGTTTCTAGCTACTGCTACAGGACAAACATCAGTCGACCCAACCCTAATGCAATTGATGTTAACCTTGGCCAGCTGCTGCCTAGTACCTATAATTAAAAATTCTGTTTTATCATCGTTTAAAATAAGATTATCTGAAATCATCCAACTCCTAATGTCACTGATACAGTCAGTCATGGACTTGATGGCAAAATCAGCATTCGCAGATCGATTGGGGCTGAATGGTACATACAACTGTGTATCGTCTGCGTAGCAGTGAACTTGTGGGAGCTCGAGATGGCGTTCAACGATCTGAAACATGATCCTTGAGGAACACCTTGTTTTAAAGGAAACTGATCTGAGAGACTACCATTTAGAGAGACACGCTGGAACCGGTCAGATAGATACGATTTAAACCAGGCAAGCGCATTGTCAGTTATTCCCAAATCGGACTCAAGACGACCAGTCAGCTTATCATGATGTATCGTGTCAAAAGCTGCACTTAAATCTAATAATACAAGCAGGGTGACATGTTGCTCATTCATAGACATCAAAATATCATTCTTAACTTTAAGTAAGGACGTCTCCGTGCTGT